TCAACTATTTACTTTATGCAGAATCAGTACTGAAAGTATTGTCGAAGGGTTCATGTGCACTTTAATGATTGTCCAAATAAAGTCTTACCTTTCCTCGGTGATTTCCAGCAAGGAGAATGAGAACAGTGCCAGGAACAATGGTTGGTCTTAGTTTGGCCTTGCCAGGCTTCTTGCGGTGGGCCAATGGCTTAGGCACATCTTCAGTTGGGTAAAAGCGAGACTATGACATAAATGAATTGAAAGTCTTAGATGTAATTAATGCATATTTATCACATGTTTTCCTTAGACTTCTTTCATGCTTTCGTCAATCGATCACTTTTAAATTTGTACAATACTTTTGTGTTCCTCGATCACAGACTTGTTTACTCTTGTTTACTCGTTTATTAGAATATTACTTTACGAATACCAACAGTAAAATAAAGAATGCACAATATCGACTATACAAACACAAAATCTAGGCTAACCCTGAGCAACAGACAACTCAGAACTAGAGCGTTCTTGTCATGAAGTATGTGAAAATTGGCATAGCACAAAAGAAGTGTTGGGAGAAGTATAATGCTTGGGGAATGTATCTAAACACTTCTCAAGCGTTCTACTTATCCCCACACAGTATAGCACAGCACCACAAACAGCACAGCAAGCTTTTATATTTATTAAAATACAAATTGAAGTAGTTAGATAGATAGATGCCTTCATTTAATGAGGGTTGCATGAAATAGCCAAAAGCTAATAAACTTGTGGCCCTTGTAGAAGTCTTTATTTCTGATATGAATGACAAAATAGAAAGCATGTGGGCTTCCTATGTACTCTCTCGAACTATGCCCCCCAAAAATGAGAATCATAACAATCCTTTATAATACTGTATAACTAGTTGGTCAATGCTATAACAATTAGACCCTTCCTCAGCACATCAGCTTATAACTTGTAACTAAGACACTCGAGTCTAATTGTTGAGGATTGTATTGCATAGAATCCCAGAGTAACCAATAAAATCAATAAATAGATATCAATTATCTAATTATTTTGATTGATATCCATTTAATAAAACTTACGATCATYGATTTTATTGATTGCTTACACCGGGATAGAATAAATGAATGACGTCAATATCTTAATGAAGTCTGTGATTACTTTTCTTGTAGATCAGCAGCAACGTACCTCTCGTTTAACAGGAACAACCCTAGAACCTCCATTTTTGTCTCCACCAATCTCCTTACGCTTGAACTTCTCCTGTTCCTTAACTACTTTCTTGACACCTGTCTTCTTCCTCTTGTACAGTGCTCTCTTTTTGTAAACAGCTGAGCGACTGTATCGGCCAATACCGGGCACGAGCTCCGGATTACGAGACGTGTGGACTTTTGCCATCCTTTATAGAATTCATTATAAATTAAACTATATTAGTGGAATGCATTGGTTTTGGTATAAATGGGAAAGACTGAAAATTCTTAATTGGACTACTAGTGATTGGCTCAATTATAGATATACAATGACAAGCCATTAAATATTTATTGCATGTCTTACAGCGTAGTTGCTTGAAGTCATTATAATACGAATTCCACTCAAACTAAAACCTCTCTACGTAAAAACAATAGTGATCTTTAGAACCTCTAGGCTTGAGATTCGCGCAAAACCAAATGAAAACCAGAATACTTTTTACGATATATTTCATAGATAATTTACAAGAACGTTCCTTGCAATGAATAAGAGCAACTATTAGAATATACGATTAAAACAGCGGTATACCAGAAGCTAACATGTGTGACAGTATCCAACCAAAATAGAAGAGACATTCAAAACACCTTTTAAAAACTTTATTGCAATGAAAGATAAAAAATGAGCTTGTAGATTGCTTCAAGATTAATTAAGGAATCATTCTTACTCATTAATATCTAAAGATGGCCAGTATATACTTAGTTATATTATAGATTATAATAGCTACTGTTCGCCATTTTCTTACCTTAGAAAAAGCCACAGACGAAGAGAACGAGATCATCCGGGACACCAGCTTAGTAAAATCAGAGACCGCGATTAGACTTTTGATTTGGTCAGCGTTAATCAACATAGCTTCCGCTTTTTAAAATATTTAAAATATTGTGCAACCATTTTAGCTTCTAACATTGACAAAAAAGAGTTAAAAGATATCTGTTGGCCTAAGAATCACAGTTTTGTCTAAATTCTGAGTTAAAATCTATCATTTACATCAGTGTAACAGCTGATAGGCGTATGGGGTACCTGTGGTTTGCGAAGAACGCCTGCTGAGTTTTGACATTCGTAGGGTCAAAGACGCCAAACGTTTTCCACGCTGAATATAATACTCCGCCTCAAAAATACTAAAATTTCTATTAACACTAACCTAAAGCTGCTAAGATGTTTTCTTTTAGAGCTGTTCGCTCCATAAATCTGCGCAAAGCAGGAAAAGTAATCGTAGGTTTTGGAAYTTCGGTCGCTGGAGTTGGAACTATTGCAAACTTTACGAGTCTTTCTGCCCGGGAAAAAACACTGCAAGAGCTTTCTGCAGGATTTATGGCTGCACCCTTATCCAAAGGCTTGGATGACACTAGGGATACTATGAGGACGAGAATGGAGCTGATGATTCTGAAAGCACAAGGCGATATTTGCAGGAAACTTGCAGAAATTGAAGGCGATAGTTTTATAGTTGATCGTTGGGAAAGAAAAGAAGGCGGCGGAGGCATTTCTTGTGTTCTCCAAGACGGTATGACGCTCTTTTATAATATTAGCTTCAAGCTGCTTCAAGCTGCTTAATTTTAGATAGTTCAAGCAGAAAAATCGTGTATCATAATAAGGCCCATTTTTACTGGTGTTTCACGGTGCTAATTTAGTGTACAATAGGTATTACGTAATCTGTCTGAAACTTTATTCCAAGTCACACAAGTTTACGTTTTTCCTTGAAATTTAATTATCTGCATGTATAAAAACTTTATGATTTAGCATAGCATAGTGAATAAAGATGCAAGATTTGAAAAAGTCTAGTTTTTTAAAATATTTTGGTAATATACAGTTTTACTATACAAACAATTGTTGGAATAGAAATCTCATCTGCTCCAATTGGTGGTCAAACACTGACACCCATCTGCTGTCAGCCAGAAAGAATTCTACTCAAAACTTGCAATTCAGCTGATGAACATTCTTCATGAGACAGGAAATAACAATAAGTGAAACCCAGCAATGTTTTTTAATTTTTACAGGTAAAGTTTTTGAAAAAGCAGGCGTTAATGTCTCAGTTGTGTATGGAATCCTCCCAGATAAAGCAGCTCAGCAAATGAAAAGCAGAGGAAAAGAGTTCAAGGGATCAGATTTACCGTTCTTTGCGTGTGGTATAAGCTCTGTAATCCACCCCCGCAATCCGATGGTTCCAACTGTGCATTTTAATTATCGCTATTTTGAGGTGGTTGATACCGATGGGCAAAAGCATTGTTGGTTTGGTGGTGGAACTGACTTGACCCCTTACTATCTTAATGAAGAGGTACATATACACATGGAAGTTTAAGCATATATCTACTGCATATGCATTTAGTTGCTGTGTCTAGGTATTTAACTTCCTTCAATCAATTTGATTTCATTGGATTTCTTTGGGAGGGGTTCATTTGTGCATATGATCATGATATTATAAACTGATTATTCAGTGTCTGTAGCTTGCACATAATTTGTTTAAATGGTGCCATGTTTATTCCCATAAGAAGTAACCAAGTAACCTAGTTCTGAAATGCTTGAATGTGAGGCTATGTGGGGGAAATCTATTCATTCTATTCCACCATGGCTCCTGCATAAGAGAGGTCTATGGGATGACTAGCAGTATTAGTTTGGCTATAAACTCATCACAATTTTTTTTCCAATTTCATTGCTGTTTTAGGATGGTAAACATTTTCATGGTGTGTTAAAGAAAACTTGTGATAAGCACGACCCAACTTATTACACAAGATTCAAAGAATGGTGTGACAAGTATTTCTTCATCCCTCACAGAGGTAAGAGATAATGATGTAGGCTTTTTGACTCTTATCCATCCATCTCTCCCTCCCTCCCTCCCTCCCTCCCTCTCTCCCTCCCT